CTTTTCCTTTCCCTAAATGACTCGAACAAATTAAAGAGAGACAGAAACTGTTTTCTCAATATAATATATATATATATATATATATATATATATATATATATATATAAATTCAGCAATTAAACAGTTAACTGGCAACAATGTAGTATAGCATCAAGGGGAAAAAAGTAGACCACCAACTAAACCTATCGCTACCATTAACTATCCCTCAAGTACTAATGATACCATTACACCGCCACCCCCACCACCATCATCAATGTATGACAATATGCAGGTATATAAAGATAATCTATTCAGAAATATGCATGATAACGTTTCAATTTTATATTGATTCATTAATAAGTAAGCTGTAAAGGCAAGAGGAAATAAAGGCAGCCAATATGTTTAGTTTATCTCATATATTTCAGTTACAATTTCAGTCTGAAACAATTTTCTGTCTGGATTAAAACTATAATAGCAGAGACACATACGCGCACAAAAGTATGTGTATATGAAGTGGGATGAACGCATTGATTATCTGCCAAATAAAACTATCGCAATCTTTCAATGATTGAAATGTCTAGAGGGAAATGTCAGGATATTGTAGGAGATAGTCAAACAAAAAATTCGATGCTGGCAAAGTACACTACTTTTCTTTCATTTAGACAGTTTTGAGTCAAAAGGAACTCAAGCAGTCGTGTGAAGGCTTATGGACAGTTATCATCAGAATTGACGACAACTAGTGGTGTCCGCCAAGGTTGTTAATTGTCACCGTTCCTATTAAACTTCGTCATAGACATACTAATGAACATAACCTTACGTACATTTGACTTCACAGGGATTGACTAACTCCCTGGAGGCCATCTGGTTGACTTGGAGTATGCACACGATATTGTCCTGCTACATCAGGACTATAAAAAGTGCAGGGTATTGTTAACGCGTTGGGCAGAAGTCTAAATATGTTTGGCATACGTCCTAATGGCACCTGTTTGGCATTTACCAACTTGCGACATCTCTGGTGCCGACTGGTTAGATAATCGACGATCTATCAAACAATGAGCATGCTGAGTTGCTGTCTGTTCTGTCTTATTGTACAGCTTTCAAAAATGGCCTTTTAATGCAGAAGACATAACGCGATTACACGGTTTTCACCACAGATATCTTCGTAGAATTGTTGGCATTTCGTGGAATCAACGTGTGGGCAGTGTTGAGGTCAGACGAGGGGTACTAGGCAAGACAGACAAGTCGACTGATGAGGTGGTGAACCTTCATCGATTGAAATGGCCAGGACATGTACTGTGCATGTCGAGTCACCAACAACCTCGATGTGTCATGCTTAAGGAAGTTGGATTAGACCGGAAGATTTTAGAATGGCGACACCACAATATGACACCAATCTATGAAGTCTCTTACTGTTGGTGTGAGTCATGTGGTGAGATTTAGACTGCCTGGGTGGGGTCCCCGAGACGACAGGAATCGGTGGTTAAGGGCTCTTGGTGACATGGCTGAAAGTCGGTCACAAGAGCGCAGATGCATTCAGTCATTGACATACCAATCAAAACTTCTATCTAGTAAGATAGATCAGAACACATACATCAACACTACCTTTCAGATCAATATTAGCACATTTAAAGGTACATGGACAAAGAATAAAAACACAGCATCTACCTATAGTTCACTGATATATGTACTGGACCTTCAATCACCGTTTCATGGGTTTGAAACCCAACCTTTTCACCTAGATAATCAAGCAATACCACTAACCACATGAAAAAAATAGGTGCTCACAGCCTAGTAACAAATAAATTCGTAGTTGTAGAGTCACGTGGAGCCTAATGTTACAGATAAAGAAGACTGTACAATATCCACTAACTAGCTAACCTACTGAAAATGTTTAAAATAACGAAACGTAAAATGTCACAAACTCCATATCCTATCGTACTAGTGTCTTGTAGTAAATCATACATAAAAGACAACAAAATATAAAGCTGAAACTAAAATCCAATACTTTGCTTAACATGTGAAAGTAAAAACACAACAGTCAAATGGATCATCCCTATCACTAGCGGGCATTAACGTCATTGTCATTATCACCAGTGCTAAACAAAAAATAATAATAATCAAAAACTTGAAGTCCTGACACATTAATCCAGTTATCGACAAACAGCATAATAAGCATGGGATGTAGGCAGAGGAAGAGACTGAAAATATACAACGCAGCATACGAATACAAAAATGCAGAGACATTCTAAATGACCAGAAGGATAAATCTGATATATATATATATATATATATATATATATATATATATATATAACGCCTGTGTAGCTTTTGGGACTCAAAACTTTTTTGTCCAACACTATGACTAAATAAATCTTATCACTTACATGCAACTCAACAATCATGAACAGGCTTAGGCTTGAGACTAATAGTTACTTCCTAGTGCATTACTGCCTGATTACCTCAGTGGGTGAAAAAGGGGTTTAGAACCAGCACATTTTTGCTAGTCAATAGGGCACTGAAGGTGGAAATATGAAAACATTACAGATTTTTCCCTATAGATTTCTAGATTGGGTCGCGCATAGTAGAATCACCGAATGAGCAATGTCGAAGTTAGGTGCAGGATATCCGGCAAAGAAGGCAAGTCATCCGATGAGGTTTTGAACCTGTAGACAGACAGACAAAATCAATGTAGAACCTCACATAGAAGTGAATCAGTTCAAGTTACCATACATCGTAGCAGCATTCAAAGAACTAGTGAATAGAAAAAATTATATTATTTTACTAAAGGTACATTTTAGGAAGCGTAAGAAATAAACGAAGGTTAGTAAAAATATTCGAACCTCAGAAGATATCAAAAGTGGATACATCCGCCTCACTGTAACCGATTTTCAGTCATGTCGCCAAGAGGCCCCAACTACTGATTCCTATCTCGTCTCGTTAACCCCAGCCAGGCAGTCTACATCTACCTACATGACTTATACAAGAAGTCATGGACTTTATGCACTAATGCCGTCTTGGTCTGGTCAGTTTGAGCCCTCTTCCAACTTATCCCAACTTCTTCTAGCACTGCGCGTCGAGGTAGCTGATGGCTGGCAATACGTAATATGTGTCCAGGTCACCTCAATCAACGAAGTTTCACAACCACATTGGTTGACTTGGCTTCCTTGCTTAGCATCCCTCGCCTGATCTCGACATTGATCACATGATGATTCCGCCACACGCCAGTGATGCTACGAAGATCCCTGGGGTCAAACACCTGAAAACACCTCATAGCTTCTACTCTTAATGGCTATGTCTCACAGTGGTCCTGTCCTGTTATAGGACCGACCGAAGTGTAGTACACTCATCCTTGATAGGTAGTCATATCTCGCCAGTTTGTGCCAGAGATGACGCAAATTGGCAAATATTAGACAGGTCTTCTGTATCCGAAACGAGTCACCATCTTTCTAGATCTGCAATATTAGTTGAGGTAGGATTCGGTTGAAGACCGCTAAGTATGGCCAAACCTAAATGTGAAACCACTCAGTGAAGTCTTTAGCTGCTGACCTGAATAGCATGAGATGGTCAAAACTGCCAGGCTGGGATCCTCGAGATAATAGGAATCAATTGGTTAGAGATTCTTGGTGATATGTTTGAAAATTGATCACAATGGCGCAGGTGTATTCACTTTTGTACATCTCCGAAGTCTAGAATATTTTGTTAACAGGCATGTATTTATTCCGTCTTTTAGTATACATTTGCCCACTTTAATGCCATTCTTTGTCAACTGACTTTGTCTTTGTATTCTACTCTAAAGTGTGGCGAATTGAACTAATGTGCACTTGTGACAGCTTCTGCGATGGTTCTTCTTTCTGACAGCCTAAACCCTAAATTAGTGAGTTACAGTTTCATACGTTTAACAGAGTTTGAATATATACAAAAATATATCCATATGAAAAGTAATACACTACATCTTTATCATTCAACTCCTAACAATTAAGAGCTTTGAAGGCATTGTATTCATTTATTTTCCTATCATCTTTCAGAATATACACAGTGATGGTGCGTAAAACCTAAAACTCAATCTCACAGATGTCAATCACTTCAATACTCGAGAGAAGTGTAGAGAGAAAGAACAAAAATGTGAGTGGAGAGCATTTACTGTCCAAGTAAAAAATAGAAACAAATCAGAACGCGTGTACAGAATTTTCGACCTCGCTCAAAACTGAGAAACCTGTCACACTAAAAGTAGGACCAACCAACAAAACAATGACCGTGAGAAGGTTGGGAAAACGTGACTTAATGGTGCAAAAATAGTGAATTTCACCTTACAAAAATATACAATAAGGTTTAAAGGTAACTGTTCGTGCATTATAGCACTAACTGATGTGATCTCTACATCAACAATTTACAATCAAAGCAATTAGAGTCAATACTGTGTAGTAATTTAGGAGAACGATTCCATCGATTTAAGACAGAAGTGAGCACCATTGTCTATTTTGTTCCTATTTCGGCATTACGCTATACTAAAAAAACTAATCAGATAGATAGATAAACAGATAGATGTAATTAAAATAGTATCAAGCATTACCTTCTAAAAGTTGAAGTTGTCATACTTTAAATCATCACATCAAGAAGGAATTCAAGCAAGGAAAAACAAAGAAATGGATACCTTAATATAAATGGTCATCAATGGTTATAACTGGTGCCATGCCTGTGGTTCAGGGAGATGACTATCAACCACTGGGTCACTGGTTCGAATCCCGCCCCACTTATTGAGGTTTGGGCAGCTAGGTAGTATTACTAGTCCTCACACGATACATATGCCTCAAAGACTAGTGCACGGATGTGTATAGGGTTGCTGGGTGCGTTTCATTTCCGTTAAAGAAGATCAAAAAATGTAAAAGGAATAACAACATACGCCTCTACAACTTGTACTCTATACATGAAAAACATCACAGCCATCACAAAAGTTCGCAAAACGTTGCACTAACACCAGTGAGAATACATAATGCATTAGAAATCTGATAAATATAACTCACATTTTCGTAGGATCGAATTCGGATGCATTACCCACATTCGATGAGTCACCTGTAATATTCGGCTGTGAATGTGAAAAGCTGTTCCTATAGCATTCATAAGCAGAATAAGGGGTGGTTGTCTGAATAGGTGATTGTGGATAATGAGTCAAATGATGAATTTGCGAATTGGCAATACGCTGCAAAGACGATGAATTGGTAGGATTCACATTTTGACAAATATAACTTCGATCGTGAGCCACGTTAGGCGGTTCCATTGACTTTCGTTTGGATATATCATAATGTGCTGAAGAATGGAAATATGCTGGTTGGAATGATGAGTTTGAAGATTGTAAAGAATGATGGGTAGTGACAGTAGGTGAGGATGGGACAGATGATGAATCAAAACAAGGACGCATTATGCCTATGATTCCACTTCGAGTATAACCGGTAGGACAATTGCTAAAGATAACACGTCAGAATCAGTGACCAATACTACTAAAAATTAAAAAGTTATGTGAAAATCAAAGGACTTAGTGATATCGTAAGGCATCAAGTTACTAGAAGAGCAAAATAATCAACAAATGGTTTACTTTTATCTACAGAATAATGATAATCCTCATTTTAATGAAAGTGTTTTCACCACTAGTCACACAGCGAATGCAGATATCAACTCAACGGAAAACCAGTAATCGATTCAACTGATCGAAAGACTAGTCGTTGTAACAAAAACAAAAAAGAGTAAAGAGTAATGAAATTTATAGTAAAATTTTGCACCATAACAAACCAATGAGAAATACTGTTTGTTGATTCTACACTTTTTTGCTACCCTAACCACTCAATATTTCAACCGAAACCCGGTTTTACTGTGCAACAGTCATAGATGTCACACCTTACATAACCAAATCAAGATCCAACGTAAAACGACAAACGTAAGGAGATTAAAGTAAAAAGTATTCAAAAACCTCAAGACGAAGGGGTTAAAACAAGTAATAAAATGTGATATAACAACTAACATCAAAATAAACCACTACAGTCAAAAATGAATCAATTGATAAGCAAGAATATTTAAAAGCTCCCTATGACAACGCACCACTTCAAGTTACCAAACAATGAAACACTGTAACGAGGAAGAAGGAAAGAAGAATGTATTCATGAAATATGAGAGAAGAATGCTGTTGATAACTCTGGCGTTACAAAAGCAAAAGGAAAAGTATTATAAGACAAGGAGTAAAACTATGTATAAGGAATATCCATACCAGTGTCAACACAACAGATTTCAAGTCACATCGTTTACTCGCTAATAGCCAACATTTACTCTTTCCATTTCTGAGTCTCTTCTACTCCAGGAGAAAGCTCGACATGTTTCTATGAAGTTTAGACTGTAGATAACTGCTTCATATAGTAGTATAAACTGGTTCACTGATTTAACCAAAAGAGTTGAGATTGATGGACTAGGGATTCACATCCTCAATCACCTAGAAAATCTTCGAACAGTAAGGATCATTAACAACTACGAGTAGCTCCTCTTAATTTAAACATACTTCGTACAACATGGTCAACGAGAAATGTACCATGCGAAATATTAGGACAGCATTGATTTGGAAGAAAACGCAAAGAATAGAGAACCGAAATAAAAATGAGTTGTAAAGAAACTGTCTCAAGTACACCTTTAAAGAGACATACACTACTTGCATTTTACATTACGATAGTGAGAAGTATAAAAAAGCCACAGTATGATAGTCACCGATTGCAATTATGAGTGGTTGACAATTCTCATGATATGGATGAAAATCGGTCACAATAGCACAGATCCACTCACTCGACGTTTTCTCAAGCTTGAATATTCGCACTAACCTTTAGCTTCGAACTGCTTATTCTTTCAAACGACTTTGTCTACTTTGGTATCATTCTTCCTCCATCTATCTATTCTTTGTATACAATTGTGAAGTTCTCACTGTGCCGTTCAGTCAGACAGCGCAGAGCCAACTATCAACTGGGATCCAGTTTAGTAGTGAGTTTTCTGCTCTAGTGCTTAGTGCTATGCCTACACCTGCAGGACCGCAAGAGCTAGCTATCGAATCTCCAGAAACTCGAAGGGTGAATTTTGTGGATTCACCAGATTAGTCAGGAGAGGTTAGGTGAATAACCGTACTTGGGTCGTGTATGCGTGTCTCACAAACACAGCACACATCCATACCCCGAGTTGTTAGAGTCTTTGCCAACGAAGTCTGTCGACCAATTTGACGGAGAGTGCGGACATTAAAAGCTCCAATATGTAATTTGGAGCGTGGTTTAAGGAGACCAAGCATGCTGTTCTGTGGACTCAGATCGCATAACTAGGAGAAATTGAGGATGACGTAGTATTGTTAATTGGGAGACGTGAAGGAAGATTAATGGTAATGATGAGGGTAATGGATAGCAGTCTGAAGAAACTTGAGTACTGACAGAGTTGTGAGGGTGATTGATACTTCCTGGCTGCCCACACCATGGAAGGCTATTTCTTCTTAAGGTACCTGAAAAAGATTTATGTAACGGCAGAGCCCATCGGACATCTGCTTGAGGCCTGTCATACGTAGCCTTTTGTGTATGATTGTTTTAAACTTTTGTTGTTGTGGGGCCGGATGGTCGAAAGGAAACGACAAATGAACCAATACCGCCCGCTCGGCAGACCATGGGGTATAGTGGAGTGTACTATTTTGGGGCCCGACCTTTTCTAACCCCCCTTCCACTGAAAAGGCAGTATCAGTATGGCACTGCTGGCCATCCAAGGGAGATACCTTACTGCTGTCACACCTAATCCAGCTAGCAGCAGTACGACTTCGTCCTCAGACACCCATCATAGTGCAGTAATTTACAACACAACGGTAACTGTTTTTCGTCTAATCACTATCCAATAGACCTTTCTGGTATGGTAGGACCTCGAGGGAACATGTGTTCCACCAGCATAGCTCGTTGGGTGATTGTGATATGCAAGCCTGACAACCACGTCAAGGTAGCAGCCATCGATCGGTTTTCCTCGAACAAAATTTTCGGAGTATTACACCAAAAGACCAACCTCGCCTAGTTTACTAGCCGGCTCTAATCCCGGATAAAGAGGGAAAGTTAGGAATAGGCCTGGCAACCCAACCCCAGAAAACCAATCCAATCCCTAAAAAATTCAAACAAAGAAATTATATAAAACAAAAACAAACTTATTCCTCGCTGGAATCAGGGAGACGAAATGACGCCGGTTGGTGAAAGCCTTCGAGAAGCCAGTTGGCCAGGCCGATGCCTCCTCTCAATGAAAGCAAAGGTAAGCATAGGGACATGGAATGTACGCAAAATGTTTGAAGCTAGCTGGCAAGGCTGCATAGATCACAAAAGAGATGAGAAGATATCGCATAGAAGTGCTAGGCTAGGAATCTACGAGAGCAGATGGAATGCAAGTGGACTCTCCAAACTGTCAACTCAAGAGGAATCAATAATCTAATCCACTCCGATATTGTCACCCAGATGACAACCACCAGCACACTTTTCGAGTGGCTATCATGATGTCCTCAACAACACCGAGGCTCTATCTCATTCAGTGAGAAACAATCTCCTCCAGTATCAGGATCATGACAGCAAGATTCAAATCAAAAGGAAGGAAAGTCACAATCATACAATGCAACCCTACGCAACAACAAATAATGTAGACCAAGAGAAGAAAGAGGAATTCTCCAGACAACTGCAATCAGTAATATATAGACAAGACCCCATCTCAGATGCCGACATCTAAATTCATTCTAATGGCTGACATAAATGTCAAAATGGGAGCAGACAACACAGGAAGAGAACTCATCATGCGTCTACAGCCACTCGGTGAAATGATGAACGACAATCAAGAACTATATACAGACTTTTACACCTTTAATGATTTGGTGATTGGAGGCGAGGCAGTGTGTACAAACACAAGCATATTCACAAAGCGACACGGATTTCACCAGACACCAGGACACACGAAATACCGGATCGACTCAATCTCAATCTGAAGAAAGTGGAGACGTAGCCCACTGCACACAAGATCAGATCAACAAGAGGAGTAGATGTAGGTCCACATCACTCACTGTCTAGTGCAAGGAACCTTCAAAACCAAGTTGAAAGTCTTCGAGGAAGTTGGTGAAAGACCACAGTTCAAGTTCAACACCCAAAAACTCAACTGAGAAATGAAACTACAAAAAACCTATTCACGTCAGCTATCAACAAAAAATGGTGGAAATAAGGCAACATTCCTGAGGAAACCTGTGTGGAACAACACTGGAACGTTTTCAAAGAGGGGTGGAAGGAAACCCGCATAACCGTATTAGGAACGAAAAAGGAATGGATCTCCACAGACACATGGAAGCTGAAAGAGTAGGGAGAGAAATATGGTGGTGGTAAAGTAGAAGATGAACCAGTGCAGTGCACGGGTGAACAACAAAAAGAGGCACTGAACACAACCTATAAAACACTACACTAGACAAAGAAGTGAAGAAGAACGCGCAGATAGACAAAAGATACTTCCACGACACATTGGCAAGTGAAGCATAACAAGCTGCAGGAGAGACAGAAACCTGAGAACTTTATATCAAATAACCAGGGTAATATCTATCTGGGAAGAGATCAACACACACGAAACCAAAGAAAGATAGTGAAGGAAGGAAACTTAGTTACCAAAGAGGAGAAACAAAGAAAGCGATGGGCTGACCACTTCAATAAAACTCTTGAATCGACAACCACCACCACCACATAGAACTCTTCAAAAATACCACCACCAGCCCAGCCACAGAACTATCAGTCAACACAAGCCCTCCGACAAAAGCAGAAGTGAAATCCTCAAAGCCACAAAGTCAGTGAAAGCCGTGAAACCAGCAGGACTACAGGACTACATGGAATTCCTCTACAAGCAATGAAAACAGACGCAGAGACACCAGTGGACACGCTCACAGCACTATTACAGAAGGTTTGGAAGGAAGGGAATGTACCCGTCCGTCGATAGAAGGGCTACCTTGTCAAACTCCAAAAGAAGGGAGACTGAAGTCTTTACAAGAAGTAACACGGAATCAACCTCCTGTCCCTGTCCATCCCAGACAAAATATTAAGCCACATCATCTTCGAGAGACTAAATAATGCTCTGCGTTCAAAATTACCATCGGAACAGGTTGGCTGGTTTCAGGAAGAACAAATCATGTGCGGATCTAATTGCAACACCACGTTACGCATCATCATAGATAAGAGCATAGAATGGCAGTCAACTCAACTCAACCTCAACTTCATCCACTTTGAAAAGGACTACGACAGCGTCGACCAAGAAGTAATTTGTCAGGCAGCTGCTTCAACACTACGGTTTTAGTCCCACAAACGTTTGTCAACCTCATTCAACAGCTATATGCCATGTGATGAAGCTAAGTACCAAGTG